CAAGTTCTCTGCCTCTTTCTTCTCCATCTTGTTCTTCATGCCAGCCATAGTTGATGCACTGGCAACCTCGGCTCTCTTCTCCTTAGCTTGCACATAGTTGAGATCCAACACCCTGTCCTCCTGTGCACTGAGAAGTTGATGGACATGTTCAACTAGGTTGTCATAGTTGGCAACCACATTCCTTCTCTCTTCTTTAAGGTGGTGGATAGTAAGTGAACTTTCCGGGTTATCCTTCCTCCTAGCATGCCTACTGTCCTCAAACATTTCCCAAAGCTTCAACAATGCATTTTGCATTGTGGGAGGCCACTCTGGGTCAACCCACGCAAGAAAACCACAATTCCGACTTTGCTGCAATATAGCAAACATTTATATTGTTACTCTCTCAAGAATTGCAATTATAAAAGGGCACTTCTAAAAATAAATTAAAAATAAACTAAGAGCATAAGAACTACAACATATACTATCCCAATTAAAAATTAGCATCTACACTGGTCAACTAAACACTGCTACTTCTAGTGCAACTAAACACTCTGGTCAACTAAACATTGCTACTTCTACTGCAACCTATACTGCCCCAATTAAAAATTAGCATCTACACTGCTAACTGGCCATATATAATACTACAAAAAAGTGGGCAATTTAACTAAACAGGAATATACATGAGCACATGCCTACACAACATGTTGCAGTGAGCTTCAGTACTAATAAATAACTAAACTATGAGCATCTCCAATACCAACTAAGCTGATGCCCATATATATTACTAACATCAGCTGGCATCTTTAACAAAGGTGAGCATCAAAGCTACTAACTTACTAATAAATAACTAAACAATGTGCTTCATCATCAGTAGGAGTACTCCATCAGTACTACTAACTTCCTAAACAGAGGCTACCAACTATATTACAGTGAACATAGAGAGAGAGCATGAATCTTACAGGCTGAGCACAAACTAGAAACCTCCTGCCTGTCTCAAATGATTCAAAAGCTACACGGCGCTCAGTTGGCAGCCGATGCTCCACGCAGAGCCCCTCTGGTGCGTTCTCCAAGCCATTGTAGTCTTGGTCTTCAATGCTAGCAGGAATCTACATAAGCAAATCCCCAAATCAGAAAACCAGATCAGCAAATCACCAAAATCCCCAAATCAGAAACCCTAACCCTAACTCACCCTAGCTCTAGCACTGACCTGATAATGCATACTGTCATCGGAGGAGGAGATCTCCCGGCTGGACAGGTCGTCGCTGCTCTCATCCTCGAAGACCATGGCGCGGCGGCGATGGCGGACGCGGCGGCCTGCGCGGCGAGCGGCGGCGGATGGGAGAGACGAGGGCGATGGGGCGAGGAGAGGGACAGACTACGGCTGGCTCCGGTCCGATTCGACCCAACCCAGCTACTTGGTGCGACCGAGCCGGGCTGGATCGAGTGACCGAGCGGGTGCGAGCGGGTAGGCCACCGTGGCACCTGACAAATGGGCCCGGTCGGTCAGATACGTGGTCAATACGAGCTTATACGGCTGTCAGACCGTTTTGCAACACTTAGGCTTAGAGTTGGCACTGCATGGCAAAAAATTGACTAGTGGTACTGATTCGTCACGACGTGCCGAAGTGTGGTAGTTCCTTGCAATTAACTCCCCCTGTCCACGTTCATTTTTACAGCTGAACCCTCCGGAGCAAAGATCAGTGATTTGCTGCTAGTTAGATGATGAACAATGTATAATTTAGACTATAATACATTTATTACTATTGTTTGCCCTCCGTTATCAAAAGTTTGAGTCTTTTGGCCCCTTTGATACTTAATTCCTGGCTCCGCCGCTGACAGCCGAGGTCTTTTTACGAGGAGCCGGACCTCTAGTAGTAGCACGTGATGCACGTACAACAATAATCTCCAAGTCCTGAAGATAGCGATTAATGAAGCACATCGTAGTACTTCACTTGACGTAATCGATGCTACGTCTGGTACATCATGGCAGCTCCCATGGAATGATTACACTTAAATCATACACGAGACGTATGCTCTCAATACACATCTACATTCAAAATAAAAATGTTTGTGACATTAACAAAATATTTGTAAATTTTAACAATGTCCGTGTATTAAAAAATGTTTGTAAATTTGAAAAATGTTCATGAATTCGAAAAATATTCATGAAATTGAAAAAGTTTCATGAATCAAAAAATCTTCACAAATTCAAAAGGTTGTGACTTTGAATCCAAAAATGTTCACAAATTTAAAAAATGTTCACAAATTCAAAAAACTTTCGTCGATAACGTTCGTGAATTCAGAATAAATTTCACAAATTCAAAAAATGTTCACATACTCTAAAAATATTTCTGAATTCAAAAAATGTTCACAAATTTAAGAAATATCCGTAAATTTGTAAAGTTCACTAATTCAAAAAATGTTTTTGGAGGATTAAAAATTGCTTTCGAGTTGAAAAATATATTTGCAAATTCCCAAAATAGTCATGTGTTCGAAAAATATTTACAAATTCAAAATAAGTTATAAAATTCAAAAACTGTTTAAAAATTGATTGTTTAACAAAATTACAAAAAGTTCGATTATTCTTTAAAAAGGAAAAATGAATGGAAAAAGCCAACAGGAAAAAATCAAAAGAGAAAACAGAAAATCAATAAAGACAAATAGATAAAATAGAAGAAAAGGAAGAACCGGATGCCCAAACCCCCCATCGCTCCCACGAAGGTTCTAAAAACCATATTCCCAATCCCCGATCGTTTCACAAAAACGCTCCGGATTTTTTTTGAGCAAATAACAAATAATCCAGAATTGAAAACGCTCCCGATTGCTTCGCTACTAGCTACATTGGAAAGCATGTATGATACTAGTGTAAATACATAGTATCATACTTTGGTTTCATAGTGACCGTTTCTTTTTCTCACTTATTTATGTGTCACATCAACAAAAATGCCTAATTGACATGCATGATATCACCTATGATATTTCTTTTGCGACCAGCCTAAGTGATACACAGTGGCGGACCCAGAAAAAAAATGAAGGGTGTGCACACTCTAAAAAAAATTCCCACCTAATCCATGTGTCAGACAAAATATGGCAAAATAATAACATGAGTAGCTTAATGCAAATCTCACAACAATTTAGTTCACAAAATATATCTCAAATGTGCTCAATTACAATACGAGTAGTCTTACATGAAAGAATCACAAGTAGAAAATTACATCACTAGGTAACTCTACATTTTTGCATTGCCATGAAAGCATCAACTATGTCATATTCGCTTACTTCCATGAACACATCCCGTTCAATAAATGTCACCAAGCAATCATTCAAGCGATCATCACTCATAGTAGTCCTCAACTTATTTTTCACTAGATTCATTGCTGAAAACACTCTTTCAACACTCGCCGTCGCCATCGGTAAAATCAGTATCAATTTGATGAGTAAGTAGACCAAATCTCACCCATTTCAAGTGCTTCCAACACCTTTTGAGCTCTAACATCTCGAAGCATACAATGTTCATTAGTTCATACATCCTAACATCCAGTAAGTAGTGCATACATCTGACTGTAAGCAAATTAGAAATTAGCTACAAAATCATTCAAAAGAGCTCACCCACTGACTGAGAACTGGCCACTGGGACGAGGGCGTCGGTGGGCTGTGAGGATGAGGCGAAGGGTCGGAGGCGGTAGGCCGGTAGTAGCTGCAGCCTGTAGCTCCTCCTGCTCGGGAGACCGGACCCAGAATGGCGACAGCGGTCAGGAATCAAGATGGGAGGCGGGCGCCATCCCGTGCTTGCTCCGACCGAGAAGGCGAACGGCGGCGCATCGCTGCGTCCTGTTGGAAGGAGGCCAGGAGCGGCTAGCGGCGGGACGTCCGGGTGGCTGGTGGAGTGGACTGGCGGAGGCGCCGGTGCGTCCTGGCTGCTGGTGGCGGCGCGGCCTGATGGAAGGAGCCGAGCGCCCGAGCGCAGCGGGATGGATTAGGTTGCTCTGCTGCGCTGCCCCTGACTGTTGCCTCTTCTGGGCTCTAGCTCGCTCAACCGCTCACGTGAAGTGGGTTGGGCCTGTGTTGTTTGATTTGGGCCAAAAATACTATACGGTAAAAATTAATTTCTCAAATATCTGGGTGTGCCACGGCACACCTTGCACACACGCTGGGTACGCCAATGGTGATACATATCAATTCTGGCTTGTCTAAAAATAATAATTTCAGTTATGGTGCAATCTTGCCGCTATCTTCACTGTGCCGCTCCCTCGACGCCCCTCCTTTTTGGCGCTAACGGCTCGCCCCGCGCCAGCACCCAAACCATCAACAACCGCCTCGACTAGCCCCAGCCGGCCATGTTGTCACCCACTCTGGCTTGTTTTCGGTGAGCCGGCGCTCGTCAGGGCACGACCGTCACCTACTCAGCGTCGCCTCCAGGTCTTCTCTAGTTCTCTTCTCTCCTATCTAAAACCGATTATCCAACTTTTGTTTTCAGGCAACCGAGGTTTAGCAGATCCTTCAAACTAGGGAACGGCTACATGTAAGTCGCTTGAAAATATATTTTGGGTAATTCGATATTCTGGACCATTAGATTGAAGATCCAACGTCAACCTTCTTTCTTCAACCTCCAGCTTTCTTCCTCCTCCAACCATTCCTCCTTCCACAAATTGGACTTGCCCAAATTACAAATTCAGTCAACTTGCATATAGTTATTATTGTGGTAAAACTAGTAACTAGTACTGTATGGTGCTGCGCACAGGATTATAGATAGGATGTACGCACCGAGCCACCAGTCCCATTAACTCCAGCTCTTCTTATTTGGAATTACCATTACACATAGGACATACGCATGCACGTACGTACGTGCTGCAATACAATACGAGGAGACGCACCATAGATTCCATACCACAGTGAACGCCGACCAGAGATTCATCGGCAGTCACTTGCGGTAGCTTATTTATAATTCATCACCATCACCATTACATAGATTCTATACCACGGCGAGCCACCGACGCGAGAGCGGACCACATTACGTAACTTCACTTGAGGTAGCTGATGCTGACGCCGCCTACGGTGACCAGCTCACCGCCGCACCTGGGTACGAGCGACACGACCACCGTCTGGTCGCCGTCCGCTCCGATGTCGTCCATCAGGTCGCACACGCCGAACCTCGCCACCGTCTTGACCGACCCCTTCCTCGTCTCCTCGGGCCGGACCATGTGCGGCGTGTGCGCGAAGCTCCCGGCGCAGTACCCCGTCGCCGTCGCCGGCGTGCCGTCCACCCCTCCCTCGGGCTCGTTCACCAGCACGTCGAACTTGATGAACTTGTTGAAATGGTCGGCGATCTCGATCCCCTCCACGACCAGCACCTCCTCCTCCTCGTCCTTTTCCCGGCGGCTCCTCGACACCCTGGGCCTCGTCACGGTCACCCGTATGGTGCTGTCCAGGGTGGCAGGGAGGGTACCGGTGGTGGCAGGCGCCGGCGTCCCGCCGGACGCCTTGGCCGGCCTGGCGTTGAGCCACGGCAGGCCGACGTCCTGGTACGTGTACCGCAGCGCGGCCGGGTCGAGGCAGTCCCGGACGCGCACGCGCACGGGGCGGGCCTCCTCGTCGTAGAAGAGGAAGGCGGCGTCGAGCCAGTCGGGGTCGGTGAAGTCGGTGTTGCTCGGGCGGAGGCCGCGCCAGACGTGCCACAGGCGGTCGATGTTGCCGTGGTGCGCGAAGAAGATGGGGTCGCGCGCCGCCGAGAAGAAGTTGCCCATGTCCGCCAAGTTGGGCTGCCTTGGGTCGCCAGTCCAGACGTGGACCGTGCCGTGCGGCACGTTCTCCAGGGAGCCGGCGCCCGGGTCCGGCTGGTCGCCGGCGCGGTACGGCTGTCCCAGGAACAGCAGCGTCTTCTTCGCGTTCGAAATCATCTGGTGCGTACGTACATTTGTGTTATTTTAATGACCAGTGGTTAACTCTGTGGTTACGTTAACAATGTTTTTGAAGTGGGACTGACTATAGGTCAGTCGACTGAAAAAGTAAACTTGGGTCAGTCGACTGACCCGAACTTGTTTCAGCTAACTAGGCCAGCAGGCCGGCCGGTGTCACACGCCGAAAATAATTATCTTTTGAGGAATTCGTACTGGCAGCGCTGACGAGTGCACATGCACAAACAACGCACCTACATACGTACAACAACACTGCTAGCTAGCTACATTCCTGTTCTTCATTTTTTTTTCTTTCGGATAGAAAGCCTTCAAACACAAGCATGGACGCATCTCAAGTACTACCTCTGTTCTTTTATGTAAGGTGTACTATTTTCGGCACGGCGACCAAGGCACGGAATTATAGACATGTTAGATGAAATTACCCTTGCAAATTTGGATTAGTCGACTAACTCAAATGAAATAATATAGTGATTTTTTCCATTCAATTTACATATAAATTGTGCATTTCTATAATATGCAATAACACAGTATAATAACTGAAAGAAAATAAAATGAAATAAAACTAAATAATAATAATAGTTTTTCTAAGAAAGAATGAATGTGACAAAACTTTAAAAAACTTGCACACAACCTTGCACTAAAATTGCACCTTCTGTAGTATGCAAAAAAAAATACAATAGTTCAATTTCGCACTCTAGTATTATTTTTCTAAATTGTACCTTTTCATATTTAAGAATAAGCACATAATATTGTAATTCCTAAAAAGGAAGTTTTCTTATAAGGAATGAATTAGTGGCATTATTATTGCCCTTAAAAAGGAAAAAAGAATTTGAAAGGTAAAAATAATGATTTTTCTGTAAAGAATGAATTACTTTTATTGGTATTACCGTTTAAGAAGAAAGAAAATAAAAAACAATGACAAAAGTTGCACAAAATTTACACAGAAAGTGCGCCTTTTTATAATACATAAGAACAAGTGTATAATAGTACAGTTTCTGTCGAAAGATGTTTCCCAAGAAGGAATAGATTAATGACATTGTATTACCCTTAAAGAACAAAGAAAATGAAATAAAACTAAAAATCAAAATAATGAAGTTTTTCTCAGAAAAAATGAATTAGTGGCATTTGTATTACCCTTCCAGAAAAAAGAAAATGAAAGAAATAAAATAAATAAATTTTGCACATAATTTACATAGAAATTGTACTTTTCATAATATGCGGGAATATGCCTTTTGAAAGAAATAAAAAAATCAAAAGGTTGCAAGGAACGGCTCGCTGCCTCACGCCCTGCGGAAGCGAGCCAGCATGCCGTCATGCATGTATAGACACAAACAGTACAAGCTAGCTAGGGGCTATCGTATCACTACACATATCCCATGCATTTGTGTTGTTAAAGTGAAATGCACATATATAAAGAAAACGAAAATAATAAATAAATAAATAAATAATGGAAAATTTGTACACATTTTACATAGAAATTGTGTTTTTTATAATAGGCAAGAATAAACCTATAATAGTAAAATTTTCATAAAAAGGAAATTTCCCAAGAAGGAATGTATTAATCAAACAAAAACTTAAAGAAAATCAAAATATGAACTTATCTATGAAAGAATGAATTAGTGGTTTTGGTATTACCCATTAAGAAGAAAGAAAATAAAAAATAAAATCAAAACAATGATATTTTCGAAGGAAGAATAAATTAGTGACATTGGTGTTACCCTTTAATAAGAAATAAAATGAACTAAAAACTCAAACAAAAAATGAAAAAAAATTGGACACAATATACATAAAAATTGCACTTTTAAAATATATGCAAGAATAAGCATATAATAGCGATGCTTTCGCAAAAAAAATATCTAAGAAGGGATGAGTTTGTGGCGTTGCTATTGCCCATAAAGAGGAAAAGGAATATAATGATAACTAAACAAATTAAAATAGTGAAGTTTTATGTGAAACAATGAATTAGTGGCACTGGTATTACACTTTGGAAGAAAGAAAAGATAACTTGCACACAATTGCACTAAAATTACAACTTTCTGTACCATGCAAAGTATACTCATATAATAGTACAATTCTTTCATACATTTTATAGTATTTGTACGCATATATTTTACATTCATCCAGCATCCAAAAACACCCACACACACAAAATCCAACTAATAAAAAGAAGAAAAATAACAAGCAAAACAAATAAGAACAGAAAAAACAAAGGGAGAGAGGTTTGGGGCACACATGTAAACTTGCGCATGACTTTGCACCGAAATTGCACTTAATCATAATATGAAAAAATAATCATATAATCATGAAATTTTGGCACATATTATATAGTATTTGTTTGTATATAATTACACTCAGCCAAAAACCCACAAAAACGAAAAAAATCAATAAAGGATAGAAAAAGGGTAAAATAAATACGCATAGAAATAGAAAACAAAAATAAATAAACAAAAACACCAACAAAAGGAAGAATTAAATCTCCTAAGGAAGAATGAATTAGTTGCATTGGTATTAAAATTTAAAAACAAAGAAAAGGGCAAAAGAATCTAAAATAAACACTGACAAAATTTGCACAAAATATACATCAAAATTGCGCTTTTTAAAAATATGCAAGAATAACCATATAAGAGGGGAACTTTTGCAAAAAGCAAATGAATAGTGGAATTGGTATTAACATTAATTAGAATGAAAATGAAGTAAACACTAAAAAAAATATCAAAATAATGATTTTTTCTGAAAAAGAATGAACTAGTGGCGTTGGTATTTCTTTTAAGAGGAGAGATTTGGAAAAAAGCTTACGCACAACTTTGCACCGAAATTGCACTTTATCATAAAAATAATCATATAATCTTGAAATTTTAACACATATTATATAGTATTTGTATGTATATAATTAGACTCAGCCAAAAACCCACAAAAACAAAAAATAACCAATAAAAAAAGAGAAAACAAAAAGGGAAAATGCAACCCAGAAGAGCTAAAAAGAGCGCAAGAAGCAATTCGACTGACCCAAAATTGGGGTCAATCGTTTCCACACAATCCAACTCACCACCAAAATTACACTGGAAAAAAAAAAGAAAATAGGACACATCTCAAAGCAGAATCAAATGGTCACAAAATCGACTGACCCAAAGTGAAAATTTCAGCTGACTGACATATAGCTAAAACGTTTTGAAGTTGCTAATTTTTTCAGGGATTCTTGAGGTTGTTAGTTGGTACTACTGGCCTGGCGGTACATGATCTTGAGGTTCTCGTCGATCTGCTGGTCTCTTGGGATATTGGTATCGGACCCACTGGAGTCAAGGTCGACCAGCGCCGGCGGCTGGTGCGCGGGGTCGCGCCTCTCGTCGTAGAGCGGCGACGACCTGTCGGCGTAGATGGCCGGCAGCGTCATGCCGGCCGGCGCGTCCCAGTTCCAGAAGGGCAGCGCGAAGGTGTCGTCGCCGATGAGCTTGCCGAGGATCCTCTCGTGGAAGTAGAGGTAGAACCTGCACGTTCAGCAAACCCACGCAGGGACAAGTGACGGCTCCTTGACGTTCAGCACAGAAAGGTGCAGGTCGTCCCATCCATAACCCATTGACCATACGAACCTGTGCCATGGGAAGAAGAGCCAGCAGTTGTGTATCTGGAGCTCCAGGTCCGGGAACCCGACCTGGTCGTAGGCGGCGTCGCAGTAGGCGCAGTGCACGTGCCACTGCTGCTCGAAGCTGCGCGGGTCGTCGGCGGGCAGCTGCTTCATGAGCGCCACGGCCCTCTCGTACTTGGCCAGGTACCCCGCGTCCACCAGGTGCGCTGCCGGACGCACGCGGAGCGGCGAGGAGACGGGCGGCAGCACGAAGTCGGTGATGCCGGTGCCGGGCGTCGGGCAGCAGTTGGTGTCCGGCGGCGTGTTCGGGAGCTCGGGCGTTTGGCAGTTGCGGAGGTCCGGGGCCTGGATGGGCGCGGCGATCGCGCCTCGACCTTTGTCCGTGGCCAGACCGGCAGCCGCGGCGCCGCCGAGACCGAGGAGCACCTCACGGCGGTCGACGCGGCAGCCGCCGGTCGCCTCGCATGAGACTGAGAGACGTCGTGGCTGCCTCGCGTCCTTCCGGAGGTGAAGGCCACGGAGAAGGTTGCGGCGCGCAAGGGTTTGGAGGCTGCATGGCATGCGAGGGGTGGCACTCAGTGGCATGCGACTGCTCTCCATGCTGCCGGTGTTTGCTTTCTGGCTGCCGCCCGCTAGCTCACGGATAGAAAAGATGTTGTGGTGAACCTGAGCCAATCGTCCCTATATGTAGTGCGCGTGCACCGGGCATGTACCGTGTACAGCCGTTTGTTTGGTTTGACAGACACGGTAGCTCTATGTGAACTGTGATCTTGCTTTAAATCAAAAAAAAAAACTGTGATCTTGCTAACCATATGTGCCATGCGGCGACGCGGCAGTTATATGTAAAGTTTTTTTGTTTTTGCGGGTAACTTATATGTAAAGTTGATTGAGTTTGCTATTTGAGCAAGTCCATTTTGTGCCCCCGCAAAAAAAAAGTCCATTTTGTGAAAGGAGGCTGAAAATAAAATTTCTAGTTCCTTGGTTTGATTCTCGACAAAAAAGTTCCTTGGTTCGGTTGTTCTCGACGCATTACGTGTGATGGTTATAGGTGCATTGATCGATGGTGAGTGTTGAATCTCATATTATGTTTTTTTAGCAAGTAGTCATTCCATTTTGAGGACTTGCATAAAAATTCGGATAGTATCACAATCTCTTCTACGCAGAAGAATATGTTGAACAATTTCAACAAGTCCATGTTAAGATATCCAATATCTGTTGTTCGTCCAGCAATCTCTATGACCCCTTTGCGTGCTCCATAGTAGAAGATTATATATTATGTCAAACAAAGTTCCTTGCATAATTGCTTTGAATAGGTAAGTCAATTATATATCCTTGAAGATTTTTCTAGGAAAGAAGAGCAAGCTTTTTTCTTTGATGTTCACCAAAACAACTCTTTTTTCTTGTTGTGGGTCACACACTGAGTGTATTTGGTAATACGATATTATATGTATCAATGACCTGGTGAACCCACTTATTAATCATTAGACAAAACCAATAAACATGAAAGGAGTTGATACATGATCAAGATTTTTTTCTCTTCATATTTTTCATTCAGCAACGTCCAATTATGAAATCCTTGGAAGAAAGGATGAATCGAAATATCGCTGCTATGCCAAAACTTGACGGAAAGAAAAAACCAAATTGCCCCAGTGGATAAATAAGGAATACAAAAACACAAGCAATAATTGGACCAGAGAATGAGATTGCATTATAAGACCTCAATTGAACAGACCGAGCAATTTCAAATTGATGTAACATGAAACATTTTAATTCAAAAGTCCCATGGGGAAGCTACAAAAGTCCATAGACAGCCCAATTGACACATGCGTCTATTTTCAAGTCGCCGGGACATGTCTGTCACTGGTACCTGCAGTCGGCAATGGGTGCTACGCACAACGTCTCATGTGGGGACGTCTAGTCATGTCTGTTGTCGGCAGGTATTGTATGGTGCTTCTGATGGAGGTGTCATGTTTTGCCCGTTGTTGCTGGATCGAGGGTGGTGCGATAGTGATGGAAGACGAGGGTATGTGACCTCTTTCTCTTCCGGTATCCTCTCCAGAGGTATATGGTTATCTAGGCGCGGGCAGCCAGACAAGGGATGATGGTAGAGACGACTTCAACGATGATTATCCGCACTCCGGTGGAAACACAAGATCTTTGATCAGGCTATGTCCACGTGCACCTGCGTCATGTCCTTATTGAGGTGGTGGATCTAAACTTGGATTTGGGGAATGAAAATCATAAGATTGACCTTTGGTTGGACTCATCACCGTCGGCGGACGCCCGACGATTCCTTCTCGAAGGCTTAGTATAGGAGTTGAGTATTTTTCATATTAAGTTTTTCGTTTATCATAGGGTTAATGGTTGTTTGATGTAGCTACTGCTGAAAGGCATGCGACCTTAGATTTTCTTTTTTGTTTTTTGGGTCAATGTTGTTCAGCTGCTTGGTTTTGAATAACAAATGATATATGGCAGTGTGCATCGCTCGGTGCAGAGGTCGTGGGTTGTCCTCCTTTAAAAAAGTTGATTGAGTAGCTGCAAGAGCAAGTGAGCAAGCGAGTGTGTGTTGTTTGTGGTAAGCTACTAGAATGTTCAACGTGAAGTTCACACGCATCGCTTAGCTACAACGTGAAGTTGTAAGATTGTCTCAAATCAAACTTCATTAAGTTTGACTAATTTTTTTAAAAATTACATCAACATCTGTCAAACCAAAATTACTTCATCAAATTCATTATGAAACATATTTTCATAGTATATGGACTGGACTAACCGTCGATCATTTTGTTTTAAGTGATAGAACAGAATGACTCCCTAATCGCTATCATCTCGTGCCTTCCCACGTCCATTTTCACCAAAAAGTTTCCTTGTCTCGAAAACCATAGGTGCCAACACCGGTTGGTTTTCATTGTATTCCTTTCTAGTCACAAGAGAATATGAAAAATAAGTGCTATAAAGGGAACTTGAACCTAGGTTTATGGAGTAGTTACAAAGACCAATAACCAACTCAACAACTTTACTTTTGTTTGCTATTCATAAACAAAGGTATTTGAACCCTTCTTCGGTTCTTCCTTGTACCATATCAACACAAAAGTTAATTTATGCTTGGTAACTTTGGCATGAGCAACATGATAACTATAACATGAGCATCTTGGTAACTTCGACATTAGCGGCCTGGTAACAATTAGCATGATAAGGACGATAACTATATCATGAGAAGGCCGGTAACTATTGCATGGGAAGGATGATAGCTTTAGCATGGGTAGCACAATAACTGTACACAAATATTAACGGGAGTAAGTTTCTAGAACTATTTTCCCGCCAGGTGAAACGTTACCACCGTGTTTGAGGGTACGTTATAAGGTATCCGGTGCATAAATTACCATGCTTTTTCCATATAAGTTACTGTGTATATTTCAACAACTTTTTTTCCCGGGTCAAAGTTACCATGATGTTCATATGTAAGTTATCATGTCTGCGGCAAGCTGGCAAGTAAAATACCATACTATTTACACCCAAAGTTACCAGGGTATGTTTACAAAAACTTTTTTCGCGGGTCAAAAGCTACCACACTGTTCGTACTAAAAGTTATCAGGTATATGGTGAAGGAAATATGCCCTAGAGGCAATAATAAAGTTATTATTTATTTCCTTATAATCATGATAAATGTTTATTATTCATGCTAGAATTGTATTAACCGGAAACATAATACATGTGTGAATACATAGACAAACAAAGTGTCACTAGTATGCCTCTACTTGACTAGCTCGTTAATCAAAGATGGTTATGTTTCCTAACCATGAACAATGAGTTGTTATTTGATTAACGAGGTCACATCATTAGTTGAATGATCTGATTGACATGACCCATTCCATTAGCTTAGCACCCGATCGTTTAGTATGTTGCTATTGCTTTCTTCATGACTTATACATGTTCCTATGACTATGAGATTATGCAACTCCGTTTGCCGGAGGAACACTTTGGGTGCTACCAAACGTCACAACGTAACTGGGTGATTATAAAGGAGCTCTACAGGTGTCTCCAAAGGTAGATGTTGGGTTGGCGTATTTCGAGATTAGGATTTGTCACTCCGATTGTCGGAGAGGTATCTCTGGGCCCTCTCGGTAATGCACATCACATAAGCCTTGCAAGCATTACAACTAATATGTTAGTTGTGAGATAATGTATTACGGAACGAGTAAAGAGACTTGACGGTAACGAGATTGAACTAGGTATTGAATACCGACGATCGAATCTCGGGCAAGTAACATACCGATGACAAAGGGAACAACGTATGTTGTTATGCGGTCTAACCGATAAAGATCTTCGTAGAATATGTAGGAGCCAATATGGGCATCCAGGTCCAGCTATTGGTTATTGACCAGAGACGTGTCTCGGTCATGTCTACATTGTTCTCGAACCCGTAGGGTCCGCACGCTTAAGGTTACGATGACAGTTATATTATGAGTTTATGCATTTTGATGTACCGAAGGTTGTTCGGAGTCCCGGATGTGATCACGGACATGATGAGGAGTCTCGAAATGGTCGAGACGTAAAGATTGATATATTAGAAGCCTATGTTTGGATATCGGAAGTGTTCCGGGTGAAATCGGGATTTTACCGGAGTACCGGGAGGGTTACCGGAACCCCCCGGGAGGTATATGGGCCTTTATGGGCCTTAGTGGAAAAGAGAAGGGGCTGCCCAAAGGTGGGTTGTGCGCCACCCTCCCTCCCCTAGTCCTATTAGGACTAGGAGAGGTGGCCGGCCCCCTCCTCCTCTTTTCCCCCTCCGCGAATCCTATTCCAACTAGGATTGGGGGGGGGGGGAATCCTACTCCCAGAGGGAGTAGGACTCTCCTGGCGCGTCTAGCTTGGCCGGCCAGCCTCCCCCCCTCTAGTCCTTTATATACTGAGGTAGAGGCACCCTAGAACACACAAGTTGATCCACGTGATCTATTCCTTAGCCGTGTGCGGTGCCCCAGCCAACATATTCCTCGATAATACTGTAGCGGAGTTTAGGCGAAGCCCTGCTGCTGTAGTACATCAAGATCGTCACCACGCCGTCGTGCTGACGGAACTCTTCCCCGACACTTTGCTAGATCGGAGTCCGGGGATCGTCATCGAGCTGAACGTGTGCTCGAACTCGAAGGTGCCATAGTTTCGGTGCTTGATCGGTTGGATCATGAAGACGTACGACTACTTCCTCTACGTCGTGTCAGCGCTTCCGCAGTCGGTCTGCGTTGGGTATGTAGACAACACTCTCCCCTCTCGTTGCTATGCATCACATGATCTTGCGTGTGCGTAGGAATTTTTTTGAAATTACTACGAAACCCAACATATGGTGCATATATTACCATGATATTTACACATAAGTTTTGGGAGTATCTTTTTCAACGATTTTTCCACGGGTCAAAGTTACCATGGTATTTTTTATATAGGATATCAGGTCTGTGGTGCATATATTATCATTCTATTTACACAGGAAGTTACTGAAGGTGGGGTATGTTTTCAATAACTTTATGTCCTGGGTTAAAATTACAAGGTGTCTATACCCAAGTTAGCAGGTCTATGGTATGTAAGTTACCACTTTATATACACAAGAA